ATGGAAACGCCTCTTTGTGAAGTTCTGGAAACACAAGAGAGAAGATCTTCTCAACACTGTGCTGGTGTGATATGTGTTCACAGGGATTAAAATCAACTGTGTTGGTGTTGGTGGATGAAAAAGAAAAAGAGAAAACGCCAACAATTACAAAGTTGTACCTCTGACAGCCAGCCAGCTCTGAGGTGATTCTCCAACACTGGAGATGCTGCACTTGTAGAGTCCTTCATCAGACCCAGAAACACTGTGGAGGACCATCTCTCCTGCAGAGCTGCTCCCTACCAGGAGTCCATCTTTGTAGAAATGGGCTGCCACATCAGAAGACGTCTTCTTGGTTCTACACTTCAGGGTCACGTTGTTTCCCTCCGTCACAGGGAGAACCGGACTCTCCAGGATCACAGAACCAGCTGGAACACATTTCTGCTCAGTTCTATAATATGCGTTTGACTTGTTTTTTGAGGATTACTTACACTGACTTCTTCTAGAAACTCAAACCTACCGGTGACGGTGATGTTGGCGCTGCTGCTTCTGTCTCCTCCGTCAGTTTCACACCAGTATTCCCCGCTGTCAGTCAGATAGACTCTACGAATGGTGCAGGATACCACCTCTGTAACATCGCACACTGAAATAAATCCCTCGGCGTTCCTGATTCCTCTCAACTGAGTCGAGTTATCGAGTCCCTCACAGAGAAACGAGACGGACTCGTGCTGAAAGAGCTGCAGTCTGTTCGGAACGATTCGAAAAACTGCGTCTGAGACGGAAACACAAAGAGAGTCAAAGTAAAACCTCCAACATGACACATGACGGGAAAAACCTGTCGACAAACTAAATATGATGAGAAATCAATGTGCGTTTTGAATTTGGTATGCACAGCAAAACTTTAAAAACCTTGGTTTAGATGACCTCTTGTCTTTAGTTTGGTGTCAGCACGAAAGGAATCAACTCTGATGCTAAAGCCAACAACTAAACGCTACTTACCAACGTTGTGAACACGCAGCAGCAGAATGAACACAAGCATCCCTGGATCGACAACAAAAAATCGAGTGTCAGACACTATTAATATCATAGATAGAAATTCTGTACGTCAAAAGTAAAAAAACTAAAACCTGAGAAGTCACACATGAACACAACTTTCACCTCCATGTCGTCCGTCTGCTGACTGTCGCACTGAGACGCTGCTGAACTAACCATGCAGATGGAAACTTCCTCTTCCTCTACTGACCTCGAGGTAAAGACACCGACTCTGCAGTGCAAAAATAGGTGGGGTTGCCCTTAAAGAGACAGTTGCAGATATATGACGGCCTGCACAGATGTTACAGGGATATGCTACAGCGTATGACAGCTACCAAGGTACTGGGGTATCCATGGTAGTTTCCACAACCAACAACCAACTGCAGAATAAAAATCATCTTCTTTTCTGACTTAAAGTAAGTTTTTAAAAATGTAATTTCGGTTGTTCTGGTTAGAAAAGACTTAATGTACATAACAAGATGACAAGAAAAAGATGGAGGCGGACTGTTGGCCCGCTGGATGCTGTTATGTTGTTTATGACTGAAGCTGAGCAGAAACGGGTTCAATCAGCTCTGGGTGTTGATGAATATGCTGAAAAGGGTACAGCTCCTCCTAGTGATGAGTGTTGAACTCTTGTATTATAAGCTGGCAGCCTGGTGCCAGTAGTGAGAGAAAAAGAGAGAGGTTTCTGGTCATGGGGGATGGAGGAGAGTAACTGGCAACCCGATGGTGAAAGAGAGAGGTTGCTGAGAAGAAAGGATGTAAGAGGGAGGAGCTGGCAGCCCAGTGCCAGACAAGGAAGGAAAAGGTTGTTGGGAAGGTTCAAGGGAGGAAAGGTGAGTTGGTATCCCATGGCCAGAAATAGCTGTAGTGGTGGAGTTGGGAACAGGTTGCTGGTGGATAGGATGAATCAGACCTGGCAACCCGGGTGGAGCTATGGACAGCGTCATGCTCAGGTGGACATCCAGGGTGTCTGGAGGAGAGGAATGTGGTGGTTGGTCATGTTTTGAAAGAGTTTGTCAGAAGTCAGAATAGTTGGCAGGTCAAGTCTTTCTCTTCCTGCTTTCTGAAGACCCACAACGGTCTGGGTAGAGGTTTCATGTGGAGGGACATCGTCAGGACATCTGTTGGGAGTGTTGGAACGTGCTGATCTTATCTCTGGACGCTCGCCTGCTTCGAGCATCCGCGAGTGGAAGTNAAAAAAAGCAGAAATACATCGGTTCATGAAAGGAAGAGGAGGTTTCTGCAGGAGGTTCTTACCGGCTGGACAGCAGAGCAGAGGACTTCCTGCTCCAGTGAACTTGACGGATCCAGAGATGATCCTGATTCTGCTTCGAAAACAAGCAGAGTTCAAGTTTCAGTTCAGGACACAAGAGATGTGATCAGCTACACGGTGGCTCATCAAGCTTTGCATTTTTCGACACAACATTAGCATCAAACGATGATCAAAAGGTCTCTCTGCCTTTAAATAGGACACTGCTGTGACTATATTGTCAAACCTAAAGTGAATGAATAATATTCCAACATTTAGTAAAACAACGAGACCGTTTCTCTTTCTCATTTTGTTTAAACTGATCTGATCTCACAGACTCTCAGGCTGGATTCAACCTTTGACCTTTCTACACATTATGACTTTCTACAATGATAGAAATGGGGTGTTTTTCAACGTTTCTTTTTTCACATAAGCTTATTGAAGCTCATTTTCAGAGTGGACCAAATGCTTTTGAAGAAAACAAACTTGTCTTTTTGAGTAACAAAAGGTCAAACATTTTCCAAAAACAAAAAAGGCAAGAATGCTGGTGCATTTTTTGGTGAGTTTGTCATGAAATAATCTGATTTTCAGCCCATATTTGCTTAACTTTCCAAATGGAACCATATGTTACACATGATTTCTCTGAAGACTAAAAGTCCAGCGATTTTTTTTTCTGCTTTTACAGTTTTCGGCTCTGATAAAGTGAGAAACCTTGGTGATTTTTCTTAATGCTACTGGTGTCATTTGGAGTTCAGAGAGTGAACATTGTGCACGTCGTCGCTGTTCAGGTGCATCTCACAGACCTGCTTGTGGTTTGTCATGTCTGGCCAGGGTGGAGTAAACAGGCTGAAGCGAGGACTCGTCTTCACCTGAAGGACGGAAACCGTTGGTGAGCAAGAAAGTGACAACAATACCCTACAACGTCATAAAGGCGACTTTCTCACCCGTCTCTGTCTGTGGTTTTCTGCCGCGGTTTGACTTGACTCTCAAATTACCTCCAGCATCAGCAGCGTCTAAAACGAAGCAGCGCGTGTGACACTGTGAGCCGGTGCAAAAATAAACCTCGCAGCACACCTCAGAAGAAGCTTTTCTCACGCTGATGTAGCTCACTTCATAGAAACAAGACAACGCCAAGAATACAACATGTCTCGCTGAAGTCACAGCACAAAGCAAACCTTTCTTGGTCCTCGGTTTCATGACAACGGTTGCATACGTGACACTGTCCGGATCGTCTGCAGTTTCATCTTCAGACGCTAAAATGCAATAAAACATGAAAACACAAACTCTGAACTGCATTTCTAGTGAGCATGAACACAAGCAGAAGCTTTTGTGATTGAAATGTATTTAGAAATCAAGAAACAATTATCATGTGTCACTACGAGGGCATGGTTACTTATTTCGTCTGATTGTGATGCTGCTGCAGGCGTCTTTGAAAACACTGAAAGACAGAAAAAACAACATTAAAAATACTAAACACTCTCGAACAGTCTATTTCATAAATAAGTAAATTATTTGCAAAATATCAAACCCAAAGACCGACTTTTTCATAGCAGTCTTTCTAGTGATTTGCGTAGCAGGAAGTGGACAAAGTTGTTTTGTACCTTCCTTTTTTCGAACATGAAGAACCAACAGCGGAACCAGAACCACCATTAAAAGGCTGAGAAGAACCCACAGCGCGACGAGGGAACCAGAAGATCCGTGGTGGTCAGAGGTACCGTCATGAGATGCTGGACAGATGATAGGTAACGTATTGGTAAATAACTATGGATGCTTTATTCTACATGACATAAAAAACATTAACAGCTGTGTTCATGAAGAAATTTGGCAATAAAGTTTAACTTTATCACTATATAGAGTCATCCAGGTGACTGCGATACATTTAGGAATTAACTAAAAAAAAGTATGGTTACGTCATCAAAATGCTAAACGTGTGTTTGTTTTCTGACATGGTCTCACCTCTGACAGACAGCCAACTTTCTGGTGATTCTCCACCACCAGAGATGCTGCACTTGTACATTCCTTCATTAGACTTGGAAACATTTCTGATGGTTATCTCTCTTGCAGAACCTTCCTGTAAACGTACTCCGTCTCTGTAGAAAACACCTTCAAGAGTGGTGGGATTTTTGTTGTTCCTGCAGCGCAGAGTCACGTTGTCTCCCTCAGAAACTAGAGCAGGACTTTCCAGGATCACAGAACTAGCTGAGCATCAGAAATACAACACAAGGATTTATAAGTCACAGTCTAATAAATCACAATCAACATATAGCGGTGTATCATCTGCGCATATTTTTAAGACATGAATATACATGTATACTAATGGATGGGTTAATTATTGTTTAGATGGTTTTACTTGATTTTTTTGTTGTTTTACTTTAACATCGACCAGCTGGGTCAACAGCAAAGAGGCTTCACGCTCCGAATCCTATCTACAAGCATAAAGTCTGGCAACAAGTGCTTCATAAAATTTAGTATAGAAATGCTAAAAATACGATTACAGAGCATAACAAAGCAAAATATTCTGACGTACACAGAAGACTCGTACACATGAAGGGTGTTGGAAATGTTGCTTTCCTCATGGATAAAGGCCATTTTGGAGTTTTTGTTAGTGGCTCATTCCATTGGTTTTATGTCACATTGTCACTATTGCTACTGATTTAGCTCTAGAATGGGCCTATTTATGGACCTCCACCACATAAAGTATTAAGATCTAAACCCAAAACACACAAAAAAAACGTTGATTGTAGCTTGAATTTTTAGTCTAAATCTGATCATTGTCATCTTATATCACACGGGACACTGTAGATAGGAAATGTCAGATAAATGACAAGTCCGGCTTCAAAAATGAGAATGAACGTACCAGTAACAGTGACGTTGACAGAGTTGCTTCTTTTTCCTTGTGTAGTTTCACACCAGTATTCTCCGCTGTCGCCTGAATAGGCTGAATCCAGGTTGTAGGAGAACTCTGCTGATGCTTTTTCAAGTGGACAAGCTGCGATCAGTTCTGTGGAGTTCTTTCTCGCTCTCAGCTCAACCGGTTCCTCGAATCCGACGCAGTAGAAAGAAATCTGGCCGTTCTGAAAGTGCTGCAGTTGGTCTGGGTCGATGCGAAGGAAACCTGCTGACAGATGAAGCAAATTAAAGTGTCTCTTCAGTGGAGAAACTAAATCATGAGTAAAAATCAAAAGATGTTCAGCACTTACTGCTTTTCTGAAAGCTTTGAGCTTCTGCCGTCAGCACAACGAACTGAAGCGCCGCTGAAAAGCAAAACGGCAAAAATGAGCTGGTTTTGAAAACGTGTAGCAGGAAGCATAAGAAGAAATGCTCACCCAGTGTGAAGCAGAGCGCTGGAAGCTGCATGTTGTCTCGCCGCCGGTCCGACTGAAATACAGCTTCCTCTTCCTGCAGCTGGCTTCTGGTGTCGCTGCAACAAGTGTCGTCAGCTTCGTCATCGACTCAACATCAAGCCTTCATTGGTTCAAGCAGCTGTCTGCCTGACTCCGAGGAGTGCTGTGTGTGAAAGTGACAAGTTGTGATGTTTTATTTTGTCTGCTTGATCCTCAGCAGCCTACAAAGCAATGTTTTTTTTATTTTTTAGCTGCAATAGCTACATGTAGAAATACTCAAGTACAAGTAAAACTCCTGCAATCAAACTGTTTCCTCATTAAATCTGCATGAACTCACCCTGATTTAGCAGCTTTGACATTCAAGGTTTACTAAATATCCCAACAAATAGTATTTAATAATCAGAATCAGCTTAATTGGCCAATTATCCGGTGAATTTTAGCTCTTAAAGAAATAAACTACAACAATAAGAATAAGAGAACGAGCAATAAAGAGCAGAATTCACTGTATGTGTGCAAAGAAGCAAAGTCACTCAGGTAGGTGTTGTAACATTGAAAATCGTGCTGATGGGCGTGGGCTCAGTCTCTGAGACGAATAAGAGTTCATCAGCGTAACAGCCTGAGGAAGAGACAGCGCCTGTGTCTGGTGGTTTTGGTGTACAGTGCTTTGTAGGGAGGACTTTAAAGGGTTTGTGATCGGGGTGTGAGGGGTCTGCAGAGATGATACCTGCCTGCTTCCTGCCCCCGGACGGGCACAAGTCCTGGATGGATGGATTTTCCTCTCTCTCTGCAGACCTGATTGTCCTTTGCAGTCTGTGCCGGTCCTGTTTGGTGGCCGACCCAAACCAGACAGTGATGGAAGTGCAGAGGACGGACTGGATGATGGTGGTGTAGGAGGTTAAATTTCCTGAGCTGTCACAGGAAGTACAACCTCTGCTCTGCCTTTAGCTGGATAGAGTCCATGTGGGGAGTCCGCTTCAGGTACCAAGAGACTGTCGATCCCAGAAACCCGAAACTGTGTTGTTGAGGATGGTGAGGGGGACGGGTGTCGGGGGATTTCTCCTAAAGTCTATTGTCATGTCAGCAGTCTTGAGCGGGTTCAGCTCCTGGTGGTTCTGACTACACCAGCGGGCCGGCTGTTCCACCGGGTCAGACCGGTGACAGTGGCGTCGTCCTCATACTTCAGGAGTTCCCCAGAAGAGTTCCCTGAGGTGCAGCCATTGGTGTAGAGGGGGAAGAGCAGTGGGGAGAGGACGCAACCCTGGGGGACGCCAGTGCTGGTAGTGCTGGACGTGGTGCTCCCCAGCCTCACCTGCTGCCTCCTGACAGTCAGAAAGCTCACTGGCAGGTGGAGGTGGGCACAGTGAGCTGGGTGAGCTTTGGTTGAAGGATTTCAGTAGTGACGGTGTTGAATGCCGAGGTGAAGTCCAAGAACAGGGTCTTCGCGTACGTCTCTGGGGAGTGGAGGTGATGCAGGACGTGGTTTAGTCCCACGGTAGGCACACTGCAGGCATGTCCTTCAGGTGGCTCAACCTCCGTCTGTCAAAGGATTTCATGACCACAGACGCTGGGGTGACTTAACTCTGATGAAATATATACTATAAAACAATTTAAAGCTTAGGTTGGGTTAATATTTAGCTTGAAACATGAAAAGAAAAAAAAAAAAAAAAGTAAAAATGCTTCTTAAACCTTCTGGTGGGTTTTTGGGTTTAGAGGTTTAAATGCGGCTTAGTTCACAGGTTTTCCCCTTTTTCTGAATTCCTAGAAAACACTAGTGTCTATGCGTTTATCATTTTATACAGATGGACTGCAGTCAAAGTTCAGCCATTTTCAAACAGTTAAAGCGAAAGCAGATCCACTGACATTACTGTGTTTAATGTTTAACTCGTTCATTCACAGACAGTAACGTCCCCCGATGTGGTTAAAAACATAAATAAAACAGAATTCTGTTCAGTGTCAACATCATTAGTACGATTTATATCAACGAAAAGGCTCCATGTCGTACAATTTCTTTCTTTTTTTTTCTTTGAATCTTGAAATTGCCGCAGAATGAATGCGTCAAAGTTAAACTTGGACGTTTAGACGTTTGTTATCAGTGGCGACATTTCAACTGTCTGTGCACCTGGAGGAGGGAAGTCAAGAGTCCGTCAATGATTTACAGGCAGTGGAGGCTATTGGAGCGACGACACCCAGGTGCAACAGGTACGTCGTATTCCGAATTTCTTTCTTTTTTTTTTTATGCCGTAATGAATCCTTTACTGTCTTTTCCCAAAGAAAGCGTCACTTTTCTGACAGTAGAAGTGAGTCTGGGGGGTAGAAATCCTCAGAAATCAGATTGTTATGTCGGTTTTAAAACCACAGTGAACCACAGCGCAAAAGCCTTCACCGTCCATTGTTGCATTACAACCGGGACCTGAGGTTGGATTTATTGGTGGTTTGAACGGAAAACTGAAAACTGGTGATCCACCGGCAGAAATCAGCCATAACAATCTGATTTCTACGTATTGTACAATCAAAGTAAATACTTTGAAATCACAGCTGCAACTCTTGATGAGCTTAGCACACCTAGCCAATGAGATTTTTGCCCGTTCTTTAAAGCAGCACTGCCTGAGCTCCTTAACGTCAGAGGGCTTGTGTCGGTGAACAACAATCCCTCTTTGAACCTCTCCGGTGTAGCTTTAGCGGTGGATTTTGGGTAATTATCCTGTTGGAAAGTGAACCTCCATCCCAACCTCTAGTGTCTGGCAGACTAAAACAGATTTTTCTAGATCCGCCTTTCAAGTTCCTCTCTATGAAAGTCTCCACAGCATGATGATGCCACCGCCATGCTTTACTCTTGGAATGTTGTTCTCGGGCTGTTTGCAAGTGATGGATCTGAATGACGGCCACAGAGTTTAGTTTGAAGCTTCTTCTATATGTTTGCGGAGTCCTGGTTAGTGAAATCCAAACATGGTGTCTTAGAATTTTACTTGAAGCAAAAATCTGTCATATGGACCGATACTTGCAGCTCCATTCATTATTTTCTTTGCAGAATCTCTGATTGAAGCTGTCCTGGTCTGTGAGATTTGATCAGTTTCCTTCGCCACTTTCTTTGCATGATGTTCTGTTTTTAATGCCGTCCTGCTGGATGGTCAGTTTTTGTGGATATTTTCCAGCTGCACTCCTTCACAGCTTGGTCTGTGATTTGTTCGTAAAGCTCCGTGTTCGTCATAACCGACTGACACTTTGCAGACAAGTGGAAGTTTTTTGGTTTATTTCTTCGTTCTACTTTCACATCCATGACATAAAAGCCAAAGATAACATCAAGACAGGGTTGAATACAAATCTACACAGACTTTTTCTTTTCTTGTTTTTAATTTAAATTTAAAAAATCTCAAACTCTGTTCAGGGATTAACGTGTTTTGTAATTAGAATTCTGCAGAAAATCTCATTCAGAAGCAGATTTCTCCCCATGATGCGTCACTGTTCTCTGCTGGTTCTCAGAGATACATGATGCTTCATCAGAATGACGGACCGTCGGTTCAGTCTCCGCTCAAAACTCTGTGTCCTGGTCTTCCATCTTCTCCTGACACACTCTTGCAGAGGTAACTAACACACCAAATACAGTTTTGAGAACAAGGTTTTGAAAACAAAGATATGACAAAAGCACATTAATCAATCCTGTCACGAGTTACTTTAGCACGTTTAAACATATTAATTATAATTTTCTAGCTCTGGAGGTGTTGTGTCTTTGTGTCCTGAGGCTGTTTTGTGCTTTAGCCTAACTTATACTCTGTAATCAATCTGCTGCCACACTTAGAATGACAGTCTTGTCCACATTATTGGAGATCTTTTGTAGAAAAAACAGTTTCTGATGTTCTAGCATCACACAAATGGAGTTTAGGGGCATTTTTACTTTCCAACACCTTCTAAAGAGCAGATTTTAAGAACCTCTTTTTTAATGTGTATCAGTGTGGACATGTATAATGGAGAGTTTGGGAAAAGATGCTCTCCCATGTCCATTGTTGCTTTGTGTTATAAATTAGTGCCTGAAACACCAGCTTATTTACATATAGTTAGCAGTAACTTGACTTATTATTGCTGCACCACTTTACCGGTGTCTGTTGTACTCGTTGGTATCTATGAGCATGTACAAGGCGTTACTTGAACATGGTAGCATGCTGACGTTTGCTAATTACAACAGTTCTAATGAGCATCACTGGTGCTAATGGGACCAGTTATGCAACTGATGATTGGCAAATGCTTTGTTTGCATGAAAATGTATTTATAAAATATACTACAGAGCCTGGCTGTATTCCTACAGCATGAAAATTGATGTAAAAATAAAATCTAAAAGTGAAAAGATGGAACTGCTTTATGTTGCAGGGATGAATAAGTCATTTCTTTGCAGGTGAATCTCGGTTAGTTGGTCCACCTCAGCCAATCGTTGGCACGCTTGGTGATGTCGCCATTTTGCCGTGTCACCTGGAACCGGCGGTGGACGTCTCTGGCATGACGCTGGAGTGGACGAAATCCGACACGAACGCCGTGTTCGTCCATGTGTGGCGTTCTCATCAGGTCCTCGAACACACGCAGCATCGGTCCTACAAGGGAAGAACGTCGCTGTTCGCCAGCGAGCTGAAGACCGGAAACATTTCACTGAAACTCTCCGACATAAAACCTTCTGATCAGGGAACATACAAATGCTTCATTCCAGTGCTGAAGAAAGCATCTTTTGTGGAGCTTGTTGTTGGTAAGTGGACACGTGCTGAAAATACAAAGTGCTCTTTGGTGTCGATGCAGTTTTTAGACACTGATGCTGGCAGATAAAGAGGACGACAACAGGCAAACATGAATTTAAATAAGGGTTGGGCACTTTTTTATATATAGGAAAAGATGATTCTTCAATATTGTAGGAAGAACTCTGCTGTAGCTGATTAACATAGAATACAGACAAGTCCTTTAGCATATATCTCTACACCACCAGAATAGGTTTAAAATGAAGCAACCAAGATATGACTCAAGTGCAGACTTTCAACTTTAACTGAGGACACAGAGTTTAATCTAATCTCATCTCTACCATGAACCCAGTTTGTCATATCAGTGTTGGGCAATATGTTGACTGTGAAACTACAAGATGCCGGTTATTAAGTTCTTGGCTTGTTGTCCAAGCAACCAGCATTTGTGTCCGTCTGGCGGCTACGCCTCGTGGGCAGGAGTACGTCAGCTGTGCAAGTATGGATGTCTGAAAGGAGACCTCCAAGTGCTGGAAAAGTAGAATAACAGAAACATCTTTGGTGGTTGCAACTGTTCATGTGCACATTTTCAGACGTAGAGTTTGACGTTAAATCGATCCAGTGTTCTTCCATTTGAAGTCAGCGGTGGTGCATCTTTCCTCACACCAGGTTCAGTCTCCTCACCTGGGATCAGTTTAGCAGGACTCGACAGAAGCAGCAGGTCAGTGGTGCTGCAGTGTGAGTCTGCAGGCTGGTATCCAGAGCCTGAGCTGTTGTGGCTGGACGGTGAGGGAAAGCTCCTCTCTGCTGGACCTCCAGAGACAGTCAGAGGTCCTGATGACCTCTATACTGTCAGCAGCAGAGTGACTGTGGAGAAGAGACACAGCAGCAACTTCACCTGCAGAGTCCAGCAGAACAACATCAACCAGACCAGAGAGACAAGGATTCATGTTGCAGGTAGACGTGGTTGAGAAAACGCTTCATTTAATCATCTTGATTTTAGCCAGCTTTGGTCTAATTCTGTTTCAATTCGATCATTTCAGATGATTTCTTCGTGCCTCCACTCAGTTGTGCTGCTCCCATCGTTGCCGGTTTGACTGCTTGTTTGGCCGTTTGTGTCGTGTTCATTTCAACAGGATTCTTTTTTATTTGCAAATGGAGACGAAATGTCATCAGTAAGTCACAACGTCAGTTCCGTACTGCCTTTTGTTCTGGCTTGTTCGATACCTTATTCTATACTGAGTACTGCCGTCGCTTTAATTCTGCACAGAGAGGATCGACCGGGATGAAGCCGATAAACAAAGCAACAACTGCTCTGAGACAGAGAAAACTGAAGCAGAAAGACAACAAGAGCAGCTGCTGATGGAGGTCGTGGCAGAAACAGCAGAGACAAACAAACATGTAAGGAACAGGAAAGTAATCATGTGGTCGTTCTCAGGAGCTAAAATCTTACAACGAGTTAGACATTTCGGTTCTGTTTTTTCTAAATGACAGAAATGGTTTGGTTCAGCTTGTCTTCTTCGGTTATTTAAAAAAAAAAAATCCCTGATTTGTTGAAATACAGACACTGTTTAGTAAAATCAGTGAAAAGAAAAGTTGTGACAGTAAAACTCCACCTTTTGAATGCATTTAATTAATCAAACAACACCATTACTTCACATATGTTTGGGTCTTTTTTAACCAATATTGTCAAATATTTTCGTGCAGATTTTCACCATATTTTCTTTCTTTATATTTTAATACATATATTCTTAAATTTGCTTTTTTTTTTCATCATTTTCACTGGTGAGTGATGGCAGTGAAACCACAATATCACATCGATTTTTTTTGTGCTTAACTAATAAATCACTTCCGTCCTTCTGTTGTCGTCAGACCTCGTGGAGTCCCTACAAGTGGTTCAAGGATGAACAGCAGAGGAGGCGGGAGGTGGAGATGAAAGTGGCGGCTTTAACGAAGGAGGTTCATCTTTGCATTTTTCCAGCCTTCTTTACATGTTTGGTTTCATTTCTACTGTCCACACGGTTAAAGTGACAAACCTGAGAGCCTCCAAACACTCAGTCTGGTTTTCATGCACACCAAATGAAACCACAGGTCTGCGATGTTGTCTCGCTTCATTATTCAGAAGCTGCAGACTGAGATTCATTGTCACTGAAAAGCCAGTTTTGACGTATTTTAAAAACTTGAATCTGGATAAAAGTCATCGAGACTTCTGAATCTCACAGACGAGAAATGAAAGAAAAAGTTCTTCTTCTCTTTGTGTTCCGTCTCCACTCAGGTGAAGGACCTTTTAGCGAATGTGTCTCAGCTCAAAGAGGAGAAGCAGAGATGTGAGAAGGATCTGCAGAAGCTGCAAGAGGAGCTGAACAACATGAAAAAACAGGTGAATCTCTCACAGACATCGATTCTGCATGAAACAGATTGAAGAACATAAAATCTGTCCAGATTGATGTAAAATTCATAAATCATGACGAGCTCAGGCCAAACCCACCGACAACACGACCAAAATGATGTAAAATCATCCAAAGATTAACCAATTTGTCCAAATCATCCTAAATGACCCGAAAAGCTTCTGTAGAAGAAACCAGAACGTCCACATTTGTCCGTCCATCCATCCATTATCTACACATCGCTTAATCCTCACTAGGGTCATGGGGGGCTGGAGTCTATCCCAGCTGACTCAGGGTGAAGGCAGGTTCACCTGGACAGGTAACCAGTCTATCACAGGGCTACACTTAGAGACAGACAACCAAGCACACTCACATTCACACCTACAGACAATTTAGAATCACCAATTAACCTCAACATGTTTCTGGACTGTGTGGGAGGAAGCCGGAGAACCCGGAGAGAACCCACGCTGCACGGGGAGAACATGGAGACTCCACACAGAAAGATCCCGTCCCCCACTGGGACGCGAACCGGCGACCTTCTAGCTGTGAGGCAACAGTGCTAACCACTGCTCCACCTTGCAGCCCCACATTTGTCCAGAACGAGTTAAAACTGGCAAAATTTCTACAGAATGATTAAAAATCTGACCACACGGACTCTGGTTGATTGAATATGAGTTAAAATGTGTTCAACATGTCTTCAGACCTGGTCCAAGACGACTCCAACATTTGATATGTGAAAGCTCCATGACAACAAATCCGATGGTTCTGAAACCGTTTCTTGAGTCCAGACGGACACAGATGACTCCAACACTCAGCTCCGTACAGAAAATGCAGAACATCTTGTTTAGACGTTGATTTATTTATTTTAAACATAGTTTTAGTTTTAAAGACAATTCAAACTGTTGTGTTTTGCCGATTTCTGTGGAATGTAGAGAAATAATAAGGATTGATGTCATTTACTTTGTTAACACGAGATTGGACTTCTGGTTTCGTAGGAGCAGAATCATGATCAGCGGCAGGAGCCCAAAAGTGAGCTGGACGCCGATAAAACCGAGGTCTGTCTTTGATCAGCGCTTTTAGTTTGAAATCTTCTGACTGGTCGAGTCCATCACTTTGTAAACCGTTCATCTTCTTTTCACCTCCTGCCTTCAGCCAGACGGAGTCGTAGCCGACGTCCAGAAACCTGAAGAGACGAAGAAGCAGAGAGACAACAACCAGCAACCCCCAAAACAAGAGGTTCAGGCTTTTATTCTGGATTTAAATCTCACAATTATTAAAATATTATAATATTTTTATGTAAAGCCACAAAAAAAAACCTTGATGTGACTGAAAATTAACAGATTTTTGCCGTTAGAAACAGAGTCACTGGTTTACAAGATTATTTTCACAGTTTCAGTGTTTTCTGACATCATCTAAATTTAAAAAAATCCAAATACACAATAAACCCCAACACTTTTCTGCAATATCACAACATTTTTCAACCACATTTCTAATTAATTTAATTGTTTTTACATAAATATATCCGGTTAAACATTCAAAAGAGAAAACATTACACATTATCTCATGTATGATTGAGGTCAGAATCTGAATCCTAACTGTGGAAAACTATCAGAACCCATGTTGTTGTTGGTTTGTTGCTGTTAACAGGAGTTTTTTGGTTTTATTTTTCTCGTTTTGTCAACAGTATAGGTCCGTCCATTTCAACATACCACAGAAATCAACATTTATCAGGAAAAATGAGTCAGAAGCAAGAACAGCCTCAAATATTATCCCCAGAACAGACTTAAACGGACAAAAACATTTAATAAAGAAGCCGATTCCAACAGCTGAAGCAGATTGATGTCGATACTGTCGTAGCGTTCAGTCTGATCTGAAGGTAGAGAAACGTTTTCTACGCTAACGTTGGGTTTTCTCACCTACAGAATCCATCCAGGAAAAGCGGATGCATTTCGTCCTGAAGTTCTGGAGCTCTGAAGGCAGCGACGAACCGTTTGGACTCAGAAGAGACTGTAAATACAGGATCAATGTTTAGTCTCTCTTGTGGTTTGTTCAACAATTCAAAACCTGTTTTTGTATAAAACATGTTGAGAAAAGTCTTAGTTTCATCTGTGAAGCTCTGCAGGACTATCACCTCCACTGGACGCTGAGCTTTTATAAAGACGAAGGACTCGACATCTAAGCTTGAATTTCATACTTTTTTTTATAGACTTCAAATTTATATTTGATCCTCTCAAACATCCGATTTCTCTTCTTTTCAGATGCAATAAGCACCTTTAAAAGATTCATGTTTTCACAGCGAAGTGGTTTTGTCTTTTTTTCTCTCCAAATTATTTTTCTCTTTTTGGACCCAATCTACACCATCCATTAGAAATGTTTTGCTCCATTTTTTTGTCACAAAGTCATTAAAAGCCTCATAAACACATGTTTGGCTTCATCATGTGAGACGCTGCTTGAAAATAAAGTCTGTTTGTATTTACACAATGATTTTCATGCATCGCTTTTTTTTTTTTTAACTTTTATTTTCCAACCGTTTGCACCAACAAACCAGAAACTTATTGGAAAAAAGCAGAGTTCTGTGCATTTTCTAAAAACAACTGCTTAAAGAGAAACTATTGCTTTTCAAAAGGAGGAAACAAGACCACAGCTGCAGCTTTTCTACACATGAGCTGCACAGAAACACTGAACAGACCGATGCTCTGCTTCGACAGCGTTACTTCATTTATACAGACGACAGGCAGGTGGACGTAAGAAGAACTTTCATCCAAAGAAAACAGGTCAAAGAAAAGCAGGCAGGGAAAAAAAAAAAAAATCCAAACTAAAAGCCCAAATGTATCTAAAATCTCCAGAAAATACCCAAAAATCCAGAAGCAAAAACCACAAACCTGATGAGAAGCACGCGGAGCAGCAACAGGAGGAATCAGGCTGGAGAACATGAGGGAGGTTCGCTCAGAACTGAAGACACAGGTGGAGCTCGTCAGGGCGATCAGACGAGGAGGTAGGAGGAAGTAAAAACACAAGAGACACACCAGGACAGCGATCTCTTCAAAATAAAACAGGAAATAAGCCAAACAAACAACATATCGCCTTGTTTTCATCACATTTCTTTTATCTAAACAAGATCGATTCATTTGCTGACCTTGTGCCAACCAAAGAAATACAGTTTAAATATAATATGTTGTTATTTTCTTTACAAAAAATAATCACCAGCATGTTGTTGACACTGCAGCTTGAGTGTGTTTAGCAGCTTTTTTAAACCTTCTATTCAAGCCTGTAAAAGCATTTTTTTTTGTTGCGGTGAAGCCTCCTGAGAGTCTCTTCAAGAAACGTGCGAGCAAACACGTGCTCGGTTCATGTTGTTGACTCTGATCATAGGCATACGGTGTACGTGCTCGTGTGGTTTCGTGTCTGAGAAGCTTGTTTCAGACGCCGCTCACGTCTCAAACAAAACCCAAAGTACGTGAGAAAACCGTTTTAAAAATAGCGGCGTGCATCAGTCCTCTGTGGGTTTTTATTTGGTTTTTTTTTTTACTTTTTCTGTGCGTGAGAAAGTCCGACAGCGCTCACTGCAAACACCTGAAACCCAACTTCAGAATCCTGTAAAGTGGCTGAAAAACGCAGGTCGAGAAAACGTTCGTCCACTTAGTTTTTCTGTGAATCCCAGTTTTCCAAAGTGAAGAAGTCCCACCAGCAGCAGCATCAGAGACAACAGCAGAACAACGAAGACAGTCCTCAGGACCAGCGAAACCGGCATGGAGTCATCGGAGGACGGTCTGAGAGGATCTGCAAAGACATGAACGGGTTAACCACAAGAGTCAGCGTCACTCCAATGGGAACCCAGCATTAACTGGTTTGGTGTTCATTTGAGCTGCTTTAATTTCCAGTCCTACCTCTGACAGCCAGCCAGCTCTGAGGTGATTCTCCAACACTGGAGATGCTGCACTTGTAGAGTCCTTCATCAGACCCAGAAACATTGTGGAGGACCATCTCTCCTGCAGAGCTGCTCCCTACCAGGAGTCCATCTTTGTAGAAATGGGCTGCCACATCAGAAGACGTCTTCTTGGTTCTACACTTCAGGGTCACGTTGTTTCCCTCCGTTACAGGGAGAACCGGACTCTCCAGGATCACAGAACCGGCTGCAAAATGAAGGTTTGCGGGTTGTGAATCAAAATATCATGACCCCATCAACTCCTCGCATCGGTAAACTGGAACCCACCAGTGACGGTGATGTTGACCACGTCGCTCCGGTCGCCCTGTTCCGTCTCACACCAGTAGCTTCCGCTGTCTCCTTGATAAACTCTGTCAACGGTGCAGGAGGAACCTTCGGACGTCCTCTTGATGTCGCACACCGGAGTGAATTCCTCGGTTTTCCTGATCCCTCTGATCTGAGGGGAGCCGCCAAGACCCTCGCAGCGAAAGGAGACCGACTCAAACTGAAAGTGCTGCAGCCGGTTTGGAACGATGTGAAGAGCTGCATCTGAGACAGAAAGACGGAGACGGTTCAACAAGACAAGAGTCTAAATACCGGCTGGCACCAGTAGTACAGAGTGAACTACTTTTTGTTGTACCTCCACGGTGAGGTTTTCAGTCATTTTGATCCTAACGATGCTATATCATTGTTTCCTGTGGCTGTTTTAATTGGTGCTTTGATGTAAAATCAGCAATTTGCATTCAAATAAAGTCACTATTTTTGCTTCAAACAACATGCAAAGCAGCTAGCTCTCCTTTAGCTCACATTAAATCCATAAATTAACAATATTTTGAGAAGAAATAAGTAAAAATTTTGCTGGTGATTGGTTCTTAGAGCAGTTTTTTTGTCTTTAGTCAGTCATTTTGGGAAGGATTAGGGTTAAATAAACAGTTCAAATGGAGGCTCCACATACTTTGGAGATTTAACTGTTTACGTTCCACCATCAGCTGACTGTGTCGTCAAACAACTGGCTCCTCTGGTCACTGTTTTTGAGGTGTGCTGCATTTATTTTATTGATCCAGCAGGCTGGATTTTCACGGGTGAGTGAGTAGCATCAGACATCTCGCAAAATGTTGGAAATCGGCTGGTTTTGACGCTTTCTGGCTGATAAATTGTGTAAATCTGGCAATTAAGGGAAAACACAGCAAGCCTTTCAAACTCTCTGGTGGCATTTGGGGGTTCAGGAGGTTAAATTCTAACACTGGCTATGACATTTAAGAACAGCTTTCATGGCAATGCATATAAAAGTGTTTTCAGCGTGGACCAAAGCTGGAGCAGACCTACGCTGCCATTCTTACAGCCGCGATACTGGCAGAAACAGAAGTGCAAAACAGAAGCCATGCCACTCACCACTGTGTCGAACATCCAGCAGAATGAACACGAGCATCACTGGACAAAGAAAGCAGAGTGTTCCAGCCACAGACTCTCATACATTATACAGTATTTAGAATAGTGTAAACTGCAACAGAAGGAGGACTCACTCGGTGTGGGCTCCATGTCGTCTTCCTGCTGACTGAGCATCGCGCTGAAATGCAGCTTCAGTAGACTGCAGATGAAAACTTCCTGTTTCTGCGCAGCTTGCGTCTAATAATAATGCAACAGCTCAGGGGTGAAACTCAGCGTGGCTTCAAGCGTGTGCAAGTCTGATGCATGGACCTATATTTGCACGACTTCTTTTTCTCAGCATCATCTTACCTTGAGACGCAAACATCAACGCTTCGGAGCCTTAAAGTTGCTCAAAATCAGAATTTCTCACATTTCACGAAGGTTCACTTGATTTCTCACTTTACAGAAAAGTCTCGTAGTTCAGTGGAAGCGAGTAAACCGGACGACCAGGTTTTCATCAGCTGTGTGTTTAAATCAGTGACATCTCAGCCTTAAATGAAGGTTGTTGTCAAACTCAGCTCTGCTACAAATGAGTAAGAAAATGACGTTGAGCTCCAGGAAAAGAAGCGATAATCATCCCTGCATGTCCTTTCAGTCACTTTATCTCAATTTCGCTCCCACAAACACAGAACAGAAGGAAGATGCATTGATGTAAAGACAATTTAAAGCTTCTCTTCTGCCTCCTGCAGTAAAACAAAACGACTTTTGACCTGTTTTTATTACTTGTTGCTACAACAAAGCAACAGACTTGATAGCAGGTTGTAAAGTCTTGAAATCAGTCACCTGAAAAACCCCTAATAAAAGCTACAGCTACACAAAACAGATACAGACATTTTCTATTCTGTTCTATTTCTAGTTGAAGTTTATTGAATATAAAGCTTATTTTCCTGCCAGATTCAGTCTTTTGTTCGTCAGTGTGTCATCACTTTATGTTTACTGGTAGATGTGTTGTTGTTGGAGCCCTGCAGCAGAAAGAAATGTCCACATTTAAAGTAATATATATGTAAGAAATATAAATATAAGGGCAAACTGCTGCACTAATAGTAATAAAATTATGGGCGGTAACAGGATTTGTAATGCAGCGCCTCTGAGCTGCTGATCAGAGGTCAAAGTAGAAGAGCTGTGAATGATTTACTGGTTTGATCAGATACGAGGCGACTGCAGCGACCGACAGGTAGGTTGTCTTTACCGCTGCTTGTATTTCATAGAAAACACATCAAAAATGTTTGGTAAAGTTCCGTCTGCAGGTTGAGTTGTGGTTCTTTCCTCCAAAACACTCGACTTTTGTGCCATTTAACAGGACGTCTGTTGGTTTATACGCCAAACTGTCGACTGATATGTGGAGTCTTTATTGCTATCGTAACGAACGTTAACGCTGGCTTCTAATGCGTACTGAAATATTGACATACAGCAGCTTTCAAACATGTTTTAAAACCATTTGGGGAGTTTAAAGCTACAAGAGTGACACCGTAATGTGATTTTAATGCACACTGGAGAGAAAAGGCTGAGTCAAAAGTGAAAGTAAAAATCAGAAAACGTCAATATCTGTCTCATTGAGAATGAGTGAATGGAAAAGCTGATGATGTTCAATAAGTGCAATTTAAGTTGATTGTTTTTCTGTGGTTGAAGCCACAGATTTTATTTGAAGCATTTTTGAATACATTGAGTTTGAGCGATGACGGGACTTCATTGACATAACTTCCCACTTCAGAGGGAACCATGATGTTTGTAGTTACTGAGGTGCATTTAACTGATTTACATTGATTTTGTGCTTCATTGGACTGCAATGAGACTAAAACAAACAAACAAACCATAAAATAAACTGTCTGGATGATTAGAAAGCAAAAAAAAAAAAAAAAAA